CATTCCAGGTGCTCTTTCAGATAAAGATTCACTTCACCACCCAGCTTTGATGACCTATCTTTCCTGAACAGTACGTAACCATCCATGACAGCATTCCAATCTACGATTACAGGGGAAGAAGAGGGAAGGGAAGAAGAACCAAGAAGCATTGACAACAGAAGACTGACCAGAATTAAAACTTGTAGGAAAAATTCCCTAGAAGAAAACCCAGTAAGTGAATACTGTACCCACTGTCTGCACATAAGAAGTTCTGTGTAAAGACAAGTTAGATCCTCCATTTTTTAGCAATAATGGTTTTAAATTTTCTATTGAACATGGTCAGGAATGGAAAATTACTCTTAGTTCTCAACAGATTAAATCAAATTCAAATATAATACTAGCTAAAAGTAATGGAAGTCAATGGAAAGCACTGAACTGATGAAAATAGTTCTTCCAGTATGAAAACTTCCCATTACACTTTTCTTGCAGGTAGCGAGATTGGAGGGGACATTCCCCTTTCCCCAGGATGGGCATAAGGTAAGTAAAAAAAACCTGTATGCCTGTTAGCTATGCTGGTAAATTGTAAGGGCACAACACATACATGAAAGGCATCTGCTACTAGGATACAGAATATCACCAGCAAGAGGCACTGGTGATGATTTATGTTTGCTTTGGGACTTTCAGTAGTGCTTTGTTTTTTGTTTAGTAACAGAGGATCCTAAAATATCTGTAATTTTGCACATCCATCCAAAGCTTCAGTGGATTCAGCATCAGCTTAGCGGCAGCTCTATAAATAAGAGACAAAATTCTAGACAGAAGAGACTTCACTAGCTCATATGGGTTTTACGCTTTTGCCAAAAGCAAGAAGCCTCTGTATGTCTTTTAACATAAGGTGGTTGCAAACTACAATGTTTTCTTTTTCCCAAGAAACCAGAACCAAAAGAAACTGATTTAAATTAAATGTTAAATTGTATGGATTGGGAATATTTGTCCTGATTGTTTTTTGATCTATATAGAGCCATCTTGCAACACAAAAACAGATTAGTACATTACTTGGGGGAAAAAATTCAAGGGCAAAGAAAGTTAAACTAAGCAGGACTAACTATGCATACTGCACATCTTTCATCATCAGAATTTTTTAATGTTGGGTTAGACAGACACTTTATAATGACTCAGGAATTCATAAGTCTGAGCAGCAGAACAGTGGGCCACATTTCCCAAACAGTGCTATGAATAGCAAAAAAATCCTGAAGCTCCTACCCATGCACCACATACAACAGCAAGATGGGCTGATGAGGCTGAACCACACCAGACCCCATGCCTCAAGGTCCCTGGCAGACTCCAATTTCTCTTTTTCCTCAACTTCAGTTTTCTTTGCAGAAGTTTGGTTCCAATTCATCCACCGTGTCATCTGCTCCTCACATTTTCTTTCCAATATAGTAAGCAACAACACAATGAAGTTTCTTTTTCCTGCTTACATCACCCAATATTCTACTTCAATTATAATTTTACTGTTCTTTACCAAAACAAACAGCAGCAAAACATAACAAATGCCATTAACTTTTTCCTAGCAGTATTAGCATGGGTTCCTCTCCTAGTCTCTCTTACACTAAAACCATATGCTGCTCACCAGGGTATATTAGTAATTCCACTAAATCCATTTACTCCATCCAGAGTCTACAGGCACTATTGATTCATAATTTAGATTTTAAGACAGTTATGATAAGCCAGAGTACAAGAGAAGTCAGCATCAGAGCCACGTTTTAAGCCAACAACTGTCAGTGTGTAAGACTTTTGAAATTAAGACAGTAAAACTTACAACTCTAACACAAACATTTTGTTTACCCAGGTAGCTTGGTTTGGCAAACAAGATAAATGACAGAAAGAACAGAAAGTCTTTGTACAGCACTTGTACAAAAGCTCTTGTTTATATATACACTTCCATGTATACAGTAAACTTGTGGAGGAATTTAGGGGGTATAAAAAGAATTTAAAAAAAGAACATCTTTCTGGTCACGCATTAGATCCACCAACAGTGCTATTTAAGAATGACATTTCTGGAACCAGCATTTGGGGTTTTGTCTAAGAGATTTCATGTTACAATTTTATTGTAGAAGGGCATAATTAAACTCTCTGGCTGTCACAGTGCAAAGCTTTAATGTTCTCCAATAACAAAGGAAGCCACCACATTTAAGACAGTTGTAGTGTTTTTAACAACCTCTGCAGATCTAGTCAGCCTCATTTTCCAGAAAGATGGTGTAACCATCTCTCTCCTGTCACCTTTCTCCTCCCCCACACCTCTCCCTGGGGTTCAGCTGTCTGAAGGACTCAAGGCCCAGTTATGATGGGGTGCAGCTGTATATCCTTAAATTGCTGCAAAAACAGTTGAGAGCACTGAAAGAAAAGCTACAGTGTAGAGCTGTGCAACATAAGAAAGGTGACTTCAGAGAGAAGCAGGATCATTAGTAGCTAAAAGATTCAATAGTAAAAAAAATACCACTGTGGAAAGGTGTGAAATCCTGAAGGAAAAATGCAGCAAATCTGCCAGTTTTGGTGGTGCTGCTAGTGGCTTCAGCAGGTGATGGCACAGAGGATTCGCTCCAAGCAGCAGATGTCAACCTTTCTCCTCCTGACTGATGCCTGCCTGACCAGCAAAGCCTCTTTAGGTGTCTCACTCCAGTGCAAGCATACCTAGGCTAATAGGTCACTACATCATCCCAATCTTTTGTGTGCCTGTGCCAAAAATAATTGCTTTATACTTTTAAGCTGCACATACCTAGTTTGCAGAGTCTCTCTGCACATGATTACATGTGACCCAAAAAAGAGAGCACTAATAGATGTTTTAACTTAAAGTCACTAAATATTAATTGAGCAAGAATATAGTGGTGTTCAGGCTAGGTCCAAGCCCACATTTGCACCCTGAATTTCTGCCAGTTACCATAGTACCTTACATCTGGGCCACACTGCTTCTGAGTTATAGTTACAAGTCCCCTCCACATCCTCAGAGGCTTGGCAGGCACAATTCTGAGATCAACCACAAAGAACAAGGCCAGTGTGCCAGGGAAAGTAAGGTTTCAGGTCTTTATGCTCTGTAAATGGTTTGAGAGTAGGATCATTACATGTCCTATTTCCACCAGTGGCCTAATGATTTAAGCTTCCTCACATCAACCCAACTACAGGGTTAAACAAAAGTGTTCTGGTAGGTATTTGTCTCAAGAGTGGTGTCCTGCTATTTCCCTTTTTGAACGAGAACAGAAAGCAGCTACATAGGCAGCTTCTTCTGTTCCAGTTCAAAATTGAACAGGTTAGCACTGAACCATGTTGATTAAAATATATACCCCTGGTGCTTGCAGGATAAACCCTGGGACAGCCCCTCCAACACATTACCTTTTCCACAGGGGAAAAAGGAGTGGGCATTTAAACACAACATCCACCTGAGTCCCTGCAACCCGAACCAGAGAGCTACTGTGGAGCAGCCCTGCTCCCCCTGATAACAGCTTGACTTGGAAAGAGAAACAGCAATTAACCAGGCTATTAATTTGACTTCACACTCAAATGAAGCCTGAGATGTTCTCAGCTAGAAGCAGCAGCTCCAATGACTGACAGGTTCCTGAGGAGGCACACACTTGTCAGCTTCCTCATTTCAACACCTCGCTGACCCATCAGAAAATCTAAAAAAAGGGCCCTGGACTGATCCACATGTAATGTAGACTTTTTTCTATACATTGAAAGTCTCTTAGGATAGGCCTCAATTGCACTTTAATTGCAAGACAAAAAATATTAGCTATAGGTCATAATGAAGATCCAGTCATTGCCCTGTTCTGAAAAGACAAAGATGACAGTCTTCAGATGCTGAAAGGAAGGGCTGCAAATGCCCTGTGTCGTATCTGGCTACTGCCAGGTAATGATCAGTGAAAATAAAATTTAATTTGTAAGTGAAATTTGCAGAATCATAATGAAACCTGCCTTCTTGTTGTTTGGTGTTTTCTTTTCCCATTCACTAGAACTGTCTACTTCTGTTTCAGTTCATGCAGAGGGCCACAGCTATGCTTTTAAGTAGATGCTCCTTAAGAACATCCACGGACAGAAACAGCATCTGTTACTGAAAGAGCTGTACACAGTCTCTGACTGCTACTGTGCTTTGTTGTGAAACTCAAGTGCATCAAGAGCTGATACGTCCTGGTATGTGGTTTAAAAACCACAGACAATGAGGAATCACTAATGACAGCAGAGCTGTGGTAGGTCAGCTGCAGCTGCAGAAGTATAAGCAGAAGTCGAAACAAACGCACAGATGCTGACCCACACAGTGTGAATAGAACACCCCAGCTAGGTATGCTTTTTATCCAGGTCTGTATAACAAAGCCTTGGTCATTACTTAATTGTATTGTAGCTGTTCTCTGAGTCAGCTTGCTGCAACAGCAGTAATACACTGGGAAGGAATTAAAAAAGCAGGAAAGGGTATAGAATTTCGATCTGTTCCCACATGCCCAATGACTCAAACTTTGAACAGAGATACCTCAACGATAAGTACATACAGATCAACATTACGCAGTGGGGAAAAAAAAAAGTTTAAGATACAAATGTCCCTTTCTCTGCAATAGTCTTCCCCAGGCCCTTTCTGCAACCTCACGAAGAAGGATGCAGAGGGAAGAGAGACACGGTGAGATGACCCGGGTAAAGCTGAGTCAGGCATATTTGAAATAACCTGCGGCTTGAAGAATTAGCCGATCACGCGGTGTTGTTTTCTAATGTCATCTATTCCTGATCTAAGGAAAATAAAAATTACTGAGTCCGTGCCTGTACTGGAGAACACCAACAAGAGGCAGATGGGTAGAAACCAGTTTGTATGAACATGGAAACATCCAACCTCAGTGTAACCGGGCTCGGAGAACACCAAGTGGCACCACACAAGCCCGGGCTGCCAGACACCTGCCAAGGTTAAGGTTCCCGTTCCACCCGGGGGGGCACCGGGCGGACACCCCAACACAGGGAGGAGGCCCGAGCAGCAGGTACTCACTCACCAGAGCTCCGTCCGCAGCCGACAGGCTCTCGTAGGTCTCCCACGCCTTCTCCCTCCAGCTCCCCCACGCTCCCACGGCC